TTCTGAAAAATTATATTAGCCCAAAATACCGATATATTTAGAAACAATCGACCATTGTTTGTCACCCACTGAATATAAAACCCTTCGTGACAGAATGGGCCAATATCTGCATTGGAAGATCTGCAACTTTTACGGAAACTGCAAGAAGTTGATATGAACACCACCAGACCCGGTTATGGAGATAGGATCTTTCCATTTTATGAGACTTTACAATGCACAGAAACAGAACAATCAAACCTAATCGCCCGGACATCGTGATCAGAGACAAAAACAAAATATGCCTTCTTATGTGCATGACAGTTAACTTAAGACTACACTGTTAAAATAAAACAGTATTTAATTACAAACGCGATACTTGACTTTGTACGTTTGTACACCATCGTTGGCGTGGTGATCTGAATAGCAATTACGGCCACATCATGTTGAGACACCGATCACCGTATGATCGCCGAAGTTTAGCAACGTCGAGTCCTAGAAGTACCTAGATGGGTTACCGCTTAGTAATAGCAGGTTCTCTTAGTTTGGATCTGCCGGCGAGACGTGTTCAAGCTCCAGTTGGGTTCGTTATAATCATTTACTGTCAAATACCTTGGGAAAGATATGGATCCACATCTTCTCCCCCCTGTATGGGTTAATTATTAATACTTATATTACTAAAATTATTATAATCTCGAAAAATAAAATTTTCAGCAAAATATGTAAAATTTGGCATTAAATAACACATCGAGGTGTTGATATGCCGCTATACAAAACCAACCAGCCAACAACAACAACAATAACTTTAATAGAACCAAGCCAAAAGTGAATCAGCATGAAATTTGTCAGCGAAAGACTGTGATAGAATTTTCACATATCAGTGGATTTCTGAGCTCCAGTTTTGGTTTGGTTGTTTTGTTTTACGGCATATCAACACCGCAATGGGTCATTTAATGCCGACAAGATTTTTATTGCTGGTAATATTTGTTTGCAAAGATGTATTGCTGGTAATATTTGTTTCAAAATGTACTGCTGATAACTTTTTTTATTAAAAAATTAATTGCTGGTAATAATTTTTTTACAAAAATGTATTGATGGTAACACAACCTATTTTTACACGTTTTGACACCAGTTTAGGAGTTAACTATTTTCCAATAGTTGTGACCCTAACAGGAGCTGCCAACCCGGTTCAGGGTGGACCTGGGAACACCAGCAATTAAGAGGTGGTTCCATGCTCCTTAAAACCTCCTGATCAGAGGAGTTGCTTTTGGATGTACATTATCGTCTTACCCAGGACAGTGTAGTTTATCGGCTTACCCAGCACGGTGTATTTTATCGGCTTACTCTGGACGCGGATGTAGTTTATCGTCATACTCAGGATGAGCTGATCTCCGGGTTAAACCAAACACATTGGAATGCATTTGATTGAATAGGGTGAATGAAAATATGTAGCGAGTCCAGAAACGGTAAGGAAACGTCAAGCTGTGTAATATGTGAGTGTTCTAAACTAGACTCAAATCAATTTAAATATAGATAAAATTAATATCAGACAGATATGGCCAGCCTGTCTAATAAAAAAGACATCTCTACAAATGAATTTGATAAACTTTGAAAATACAAGTACATAGAAATATAGAAATAGCTCGATCTTAGCCTAGAAACATTGAAAAAATAATTCCTCCAGTAATAACAAGAGTACTTGGAATGATTAATAATAATACTGATGTATACATTAAGAGAATCCTAGGAAGTGAGTAACTCTCTGAAATACGAAAAACTGTGCACAAGAACGTTGTTCTCATGAATCAAGTAAAAGATTCATGAAAGAGTTCCACCAAAGAGAAAATAATGAACAACAACAACAATAACAACAGCAACAATAATAATAATAATAATAATAATAATAATAACAATAAAAATTATAATATCAAAAAATCCCATAAGATCTGGAGTTGATCGTTTTCCAGCACTTTTCTCTGGCTTGTGGTGTTACCATTATTTTTACTTTTGCTTTGCCTTTGTTTGGTATAGTTCAAGTTGAATGTCTCAATCAGAGATTTCAAATGTCAAGAATTTTTGGTCTCTGAAGAAGCAAATAGATGAGGTTCAAATTAGGTTCAGAGATGAAGTAATATGTAATTGTGGACACTACATAAAAAGAAATCTACGCTAGAAAAGTAAAATGCATATGATCTTTTGCCATTCGCATATTTTGGGGTTTCTAGGAATTTCTTCTACATATGATCTGGCTTCCTTTTTTATATCATTCCAGCAGGTAATCGTATTGTTCTGAGATGACAATCCACTGCTTTCTATTTCGATGTTTTTGTATTTACTTACTTTTCAAATTTATTTTTTTATGTTTGTATGATCTTCAGTCAGTTTATTGTTATGTTTAAAGGTAAGTTCACGGCCTTTAAATAAACGCGAGGAAGTTTCACCTCAAAGAAAGTTTACTGCGAGGAAAGTTCACGTGCCATGCCTCCTCCACATGTCTCAGTATCAGTTCTACCCATTTAACTGAACTCTCCAAGTTTCTGTTTACCTCACCTGTAGCCAGGTATTGAACTCACAACTATCTGGGTCAAGTCACTGGATTCAAGAAACGCTTTTATCCACTGGGCCATGTGTTCTTAATATTGCAATGTTTCGGTCACTTTGATATCAGCCTTTCCCCCGGTATGTGCTCTGTTCTTCAAGTTTCAGATTTCAATGAATGGAAAACTTTATTTATTCAAAGATGTTATCATGTTTCTTTTCTTTTTTCTTTATTTTTTTTCATATCCGTCGTACTTTCTCGTATTGTCAGACATTCTAATTATTATTGCCTCAATATAATGCTGTTTTTATTATCTCCACTGAGCTGATGTAATGCATGAGATATGTTTCACCTGCACACTACAGCTATTTCGACTTTCTTTGCTTGCGTATTTATTACGACATTCTAAGTCTTAAGTCCGTTGTCTGTATAAAGAAATAGCAAAAGCGTCAACATGTGTTTTAAATTGCAACAATACTGAGAGGATCTTAGGTATAGTTTAATATCTGCCTTTTGAACTCAGAATTTTCCTCTGGTTTTGTTGTAACTTAGGTAGGATTACTGAATGAGGAATAACCAAAAAATGAAATAGTAATTTTTATAACTTCCACAAAATACAATACTCACCAGCGGCGTGAAGTAGGTAAAACACTGCTAGTGATAAGATTATTAAACAGCAGACTACAATAGTTTCCACCTTATTTATGAGGATTGGGACATACCCATTAGTGTCCATAGGTACAGTATATAACAGGTTGTCAACAACAGCTAGAGAGATTAATCTACCTTGCTACACCCTTGTGCAAATTAATTGAAACAAAACGAATAATTCCGTTATTATTTACTTTTTACGTATTTTTCCAAAAAACATGACCCAGTTCACATGTTAGAACTTTGTATGTCCATTCCATAACGTTCTTCCCTGCAGATTAATTACAAATTCACCATTGAATCAGGAGAATTTCTGGGCCAGTCTATAGTACTTTGATTTGCTCACTGGTAAGGCTTGCCAGTGTGTTCGTGTAGCGTTACGATTTTCGTATGCTTCCTTGGAGTAACGTCCATCACAGACAATAGCCGTAGGACAACTAACCGACAGCGACGACAGTGTGACAAAAGTCTGATGCAATTACGGATCACGCCATATTTTTCAAAGCCAACAAATTTCATCATACACCCCGAAAATAGATTCATATTACTGTACACCACTGCAATCTAATCTGAGGAAAAAATAGAAATCGATCACACCCTATCATTCGAATGGGTCTAAAACGGGCCATATGATGAAAGACAGGAAACTAAAGCGGTTGTTTCAATTAATTTGCACGAGTGTGTAACTATCACCTTCACACTACAGCTATTTCCAGTTACTTTGCTTGCGTATTTATTACATTCTACATCTTAAGCCCGTTCCCTGGTTAAAGAAACAGTGATTTGTGTGTGTTTTATGTTGCAGTTTTTTTGAAGTTATATTTTCGAATACCGTGTGCCCAACAACAAATCCCAATTTTTTTCTGAGACCCATATTAAATTTGCCAGGACACAATTGTGGCCTTGTGGCCCCTGGTTAAATGCATCAGGCCTAGTTAACCAAGGTATTTCATAAATACTGATAAAGACAGTAACAGCAATGAGAGTTTTAGGACAACTTCATCATATCTGATTTCTACACTCTTTATAGAATCATCATTTCTCTATCTCCAGCTACGGCAGATTTCACATAATCAGCATTTTAGTGGATGTTAAAGAAAATACTTATTTTTCTTTCGTCGCACGCACACCCCAATCCGAGACTAGTGGAGTGATCTGATCATTGCTGTGACATGAATCTGGTACTACTGATCCACTCTGTGTATCGCAATGGGGTGGCTCCGGTTGTCGCCTCTCCTCACTGAAATGGTTTATTTGTTATTTTCATTTCAGTTTCACCGGGGTTACACTTCTATTCTGGCTTGGAGGAAACTGCATGAGGGTTTCGTACCCTAGTATCTGGTTTTGAAAGATTTATACACATCAGGTTTAAAAAAGGTTTGCATCTCCGCTAAGTGGATTTACTCATGCCATATAACAGCTTAGTATTTATACCCTCACGATATGGATTTTATATCGGAGATTTTACCATAGCCGGAAGCCTAAATGTTTTACTACCCCGGGTCGGGGTAGACATGGGAATAACAGCAACGCTCCTCGAAACCTCCAATCTCATAATCAGTGTTTGCAGCCTTGTTACGGCCAGAGATAAAGACACAAGAGTGAAATTGAATTAAATAAATATAATAACAGAAACAGTAATACAAACTTATACAAACGAGAGTGTTACAACAAGAATGTTGAATGTCAGACTGTCAGAGCTGACTGCTGGAAACTTCCCTCTCCAAAAGGCAATACCTGCTCTTATTTATAGCTGGTAGAGTCCATGCGTACATGGATAAATTACCATAATATCTATCTATCTATCTATCTATCTATCTATCTATCTATCTATCTATCTTCCCGTATGAAGATAATAGATAGATAGATAGATAGATAGATAGGAAAAGAATGAGATTGATAGATAGTAACAGAATGAGATAGATAGATAGATAGATAGATAGATAGATAGATAGATAGATAGATAGATATAAAATGATTGAAATAGGTATTTTGTGGCCTTATTTCGGCCAGAAATAAAGACACAAGAGAGGAATTGAGTTAAACAAATATATTAACAGAAACAATAATACAAACGAGTGTTACAACAAGAATGTTCGGTCCGACTGTCAGAGCTGACTACACGAAACATCCCGCTCCAAAAGGAAGTACCTGCTCCTATTTATACCTGCGTGGATAAATTACCATAACAATCAGAGACCTTGTTGCCAGACGTAGATTATCGTCATACCAAGGACGAAACTTACGTTACTATGTTCTAAATTGATTTGCGTAAAAGTATCAGTGGAAAACAAATGTGTGTGTGTCTGTATCGCTTCATCGCCTGAAACTTGTGGTAACGCTGTGATTTCTGGACATTTGACTGTCTTGGATTATATTTCAGTTCTGTTTATGTCATTGATATATGGATCGGAGATTTTCAGTCTGCTAAACATATTTTTTTTTTATTATGGTTAACTTGCAGCATCTACCTCATAGTCGTGAAAAGGGTGATCAAATAAGCGGATTTAATGGGTTCCCCAAATCGTTTTATTTCTCAAACTTCAGCTTTATTTCTCAGCTCACTTTTGTACATATGAAGAGCCACTAATCATGACTTCAAATTTTATGATTAAAACAGCAACAGACATAGAAATGTTGCTTCTCTTCAGAGGAAACAGCAATAATGTCTCCTATGAAAAACTGTTGTGAGGAAATTTGATAGTGTTTCAACATTTTTTTTTGCTTCTGGCGAGCAAAGGTAATTATGGAAGATTGGTTTTTCTAGTTTCTAATTCGTTTCTCTGTCATTCATCATGACATACAAGTGACGACATTTTGTTTAACTTTCTGCTATGTGACAGAACGCCGTGCGATGTCGATAGGTTTCTCAGTGCTAAGTGGATAAAAACCAACCCGGTTTTGAATTCGGGCGCTGATTCCATCTTCCCTTCCGATAGCCGTCATACATTCATTGTATCATATTAAATAATTTTCTTTAAATGACGTATGAATACTTTTATAGAACCGTAGATGTCTAGCGCAAAGGCCGCAAATATAGATTACCCTGTGACTATCGAATTCTCAAGTCAGTAGTCATGATCTGTGAAAACATTATGACCATTATATCATCGTGATTTGTCCACTCTTTTTAAAAAAAAAATCCTTAGTCAAGCATAAAACCATAAGTATGAAGTAATTAGATATGATCTAACACAATACTCATTACAATAAGGAAGATCCTGACACAGGGTGGTAGCACCTGTTAGGGTTCCAACTATGGGCAAATAGATACCCACCTCAGGTTTAAACACTCAGCCAGACACACGCATATGCGATCATGTATCTTTCGATACATGATTGACGAGGCAGATTTTCCCCGTAGGTTGCTATTTCTTTCTACGGTAGACTAGTTGCCATCCACACGGTATGTCCTGCTATTTACCCATAAGAAGGAGATGATTCATACATTTTCCAAGGGTATTAGCACGTAAGTGAATGTCATGGATTCGACTAGAATTCGAACTCGGCTCTTCCGATTACTTCAATCCGAGCCGCTATCCATTACTCCACCGTATCTCCTCTTAAAACATAATGAATGTGTAAAAATAGGTGTTAATACCAGCAATAAATTTGCTGAAGGAAAAATTATAACTAGCAACGCATTATTACCAGCAATACATTTTTGAAGACAAGTATTACCAGCAATACATTTTTGAAGAAAATAAGTATTACCAGCAATTAATTTTTGAGGAAAAGGGTATTACCAGCAATACCTGTCTTTATTTCTGAGATGAGGTATTATGTCCAATATTTAGATTGCTCGGACTATCATCCTCATCATTGTTGCCATATTTATCACAAGATTTTAGTTCGACATTCCAACCACCTGAAGAAGGCCTGAGCGTACTACTGCCGAAACGTTGTGATAAATATGGCAACAAAGGTGAGGATGATAGTCGGAGTAATGTAAATAGTGTACCAGCAATACATTTTTGGAAAAAATATTACCAACAATAAAAATATTAAGGAGGTTGATATGCCATAAACCAAACCAAACCAAACAAAATACCTTTCGACGTACGGGTGATGTAATGGATAACTGACTATTAAACTACAATAGATGGCCTTTTACTATAACACCTGATTACATTCATCTTTGGATGTTTGTTTAACAGCCTATAAACTCCTTATGAGTCGTTTAATACCGAAATTTAATTTTGTTGTGAGCTTTGAAGTAACAAAAAATATGATATATAGTATTCTGCTTTCACAATATAATACATCATCGATGACACTAAGCTTTTGTGCCGATATGATTAATAGAGGCATTGATCTGTGCGTGATTTATGTTT